TTCACCCAACTGTTTGCCTCTGCTTGAAGAGTCCTAGGTACATTCATCTGATGACATATGCTACCCCCCAAGTGTATGCACTTACAGCAAGTAGGTGAGCCAGCCAACAAGACACACACACACACATCTGAGTAGTTTTGAAGAATAGAAATAATAATTAGCTGAATAATTACTACATATTCATTTTAACGGTCACACACAGGTTTAATTCAGAATACATATGGGAATTGTCCCTCATTACTTTCCAGATCTTTTTCCTTTCTATGGTAAAAGACCGTGAATTTTAAACTGCCAAGACCTTTCTAATAACCCACACCGCAACTGCCCTTAAACAAAATCCATTTGCTTACCGATAAAGGAACTTCACATCACTTCCCAAAACCCAATTTGGATTCCATTTGCAAGTCATGTTGGTCAGATGCTCATTAGTTTCACAGGAGATAGTAACATTGATATCTAATAAGTACAAAAACAGAAATGAATAAATTGCAGGCCTACTGTATGAGTACACCTGTCATCAGGCGAACAATAACCGTTCAGCAATACGACTGCCTCACCTTTTGCATAAATTGCCGCGTAGCGGTAGTTGCAGACTGAATTTTCTCCATTTTGTTGACAGCATTGTAGCACATCATAGTCAATCCCCCCTTTGCGTTTATGTGGTTTCACATTAACCAGAGTGACACTGCTCACGTGATCATTAATGGTAGAATATTGACTTACGGGAACTTTTTCATGGGTATTGAGCCACCACACAATATTTGTTGCATTAGTGCTCCGGTTGTTAAATACACAGTGAATTGTTACATTTGATCCAGTACTTGCCAGTATTTTTGCAGGAAGGTATGTCACTTCTGCAATAAAATGAGTCACAAGAACAATGCATTAGACATTTGGGGCTTAATGAGCCTGAACAGAAAACAATTGTCATTTTCATAGGTTTTGGTTCAGGCATATGGTAAATGATGCATATCATTTTCGATTGCACATTTGCACACCTGACGAGAAATGGCTATTCTTTGTTTCTCGGATATTTGAAGTATGTTATTAATGTATTGAGGTTCCACTTGTTTTACTGTAACATCAGGTTTTCCAAAGCTTCTCAGTTAGTGACTATAACAAATGACAAAAATAAGGAAACCCACAGGGTTTCATTCATTTTATAAAAATTCCCAATCCTCTATTTGACAGTAACTAAAGGCTCTTAAGTAATGCACACAAAATACCATTATGGTGTGTCTTACTCGTAAACTGAGAATGTCATTTTTGGAAAAAACAATCTATTAAAAATTATTCTTGTGAATTGCAGTGCTGTCGAAGAAAGACTGGAGGTTTCCAAGCTTATGCCTATGCCTCTGAGAAACAGCCCAGAGATTTTATTACAGGTATTACATGAGTAGAGGACAGAAGATGTTTTTCATTGCTTAAGCCTAGAGTAATAAAAAATAAAAAGGCTCTCTAAGGAAGGAACACAGCAGCAATGCATGGGTGAGCTAAAACATATTTCACCAACCATATCTCTGTCATTGTTTGTTTTGAGCAGTTATCATTATTGGCCCAGTCAGCAGGAGTTTAATCTCCTCTTTTGAGATAAGACCTCCACCTATTAATGAAAGCAATTCCTTTCTGCACTGTGACTCTGTGCAGTTTTCTACTTCCCATTTGCCTTTTGGGACACCAGTCCCCATGAGATCCCACACTGTGCGCATTAGTCATTAAGAATGAAATTAAAGATGGTGAGAAAAACAAGGTTCACAGCAAACATTTCTTGAAAAAGGACAGCTGCAAGAGCTACAGGAAAATACACTCCTGAGTGGGTCAACCAGGACGGGTGCAATCCTGGAGCACAGACTGAGGCCTCTTCAAAAAAACAAAGGCTTTTGTAATGACACAAAAGGTCATTTAACAGTTCTCCTCTAATATGACATGATATAAATGTACTTTACTATTTACAATTCAAGATGGTATTGAATTATATACTGTATATTGTAGGTCAATCAATGTAGTAAATTGTATTTAATGTCAACAGACTGTTGTCTGTGTTCTAAAAATAGTAAAGCATGTTATTATGAAACATCAACCCACTTTTACTACTGTGTTTTTTGTACCATTTCTGTACTGATGAAATTGAGTGCACATTGGTCATTAAAACCAAAATTAGTATTATTCTAAATATTATTTTTAGAAAGGAATATTAACAGCAGTGCAGAATAAAAAGCTAAGGCTCAAAGTGAA